AAAAAAAAAAAAAAAAAAAGGGAAAAAAAAGGGTAAAAAAAAAGGGCGAAAAAACCTAACGCTGCTGAGAAACGCCCATTTACTGTCTCATTGATTTCCTCTACAGCAAGCCCCAACCCCTGTCGCCCTACATGTTACTAGGATCATCTCGACCTAGGGGTGTGGCAAGCCGAGGGGTTCTCACGGTTGTATCAACCACATCCGGGTCATAGGTCATCCCATCGACCATTCGAGCGTCCTGCACTGGTTCGGGTGTGGTTGATCCAGTTGGCGACAATGCCACTGGTATCATTCCGCCGTCGCCGGAATGTTGAGATGATGAAGGTATTGGATTGGCTCGGGTAATGCTAGGACTACCTAACGAACTTGGCCGACCTACCGATGATGTCCGGTTCAGACTTGGATGTGAGATCGGTCCGCTGATGGTGCTAGCCCCTTCTCCAAACCCGACGAGGCTGGCATCGCCTTCATCGCTGAGGTTACTTACGCTGGAAGTTCCATCGTCCGGCTCCTCGCTCATCTTGTCGGCGTCGAACGCATCACTGCCGCTCGCCCACGTTGTACGAGCGCCCACGCTACCCGTGGCACTGGCGCTACCTACGGTGCTTCTCTCCTTCAATGTGGAGCTGGTATCAAAATAGCCCGGGGCATGCGACATCGGAACTGTAGTGTTCGATTGCGGCCCTCCACCAGTTCGAGCGGCTACTACCCGTTCCAGGCCCGCCAGACGCGAAATGCGGTCGGCTCGTTCTGCCTCCAGAGTTGTGGTGGAAGTCATTGATGCAGAAGACGAGTGGTGAGCATGGCGACCATGTGGTAGTGGATGACCTGTATGACCGTCTTTGATGGCGGTGGTTGACAACGCTGATAGCGATGTTGTGCCAGAATTTGGGGTTCCACTGAAGTAGATGTTAGATCGCTCTCAGGATATCTTGTAGACTGGGCAGTCCGATGATGGGGGGGGAGAGGGCTTACGGTCCCATATCTGACGGAGTCACTGGATCAGAGGGAGGGGGAGGGAGGTTGATCAAAGTCGGCGTCGTCATTTTCTTTTGTTTGGAAAGGAGATAAGAAAAACAAAAATATAGAAGGGAAACTACCCAAAGATGCTCACTGATTCAATAGTAAGAGGGGTAATATTGTTGGAAGATATCTCTAGGCAAACAACTGAAAGCGCGACGAGTTGCGAACACAATCGGCCCGATAAAAGAATGAGTCTTATGGCAGAAATGGCTGGAGATGAAGTTAAATAAGGTGAATCTGAAACGATAGCGCAGGCGTTCGGCAAGGCGATCAGACTCCACTGCGGCTTAAGATACAAAGTTTGGGGGAGGGGGGGGGAGTGTTATAGGATCGGACGTCAAGCGGTGGAATGACGGATGAATGGGGGGAGGAGCACTGGAGAACTTGAAGGTGTGGGAGGCAATTTGGGTTCCAATAGGAGTGAATCGTCATGCAGACGGGAAGTTGTGAGGAAAGAACAATGAGTGGGTTAGTTTGCTCCAAACTACTTCTTACAAGGTCACTAACTATGTATGAAGAGAAAGTGAGGCTACTAGGTAGATGGGCTGCGTCACTAGTCATGGACTTGACTCTCATTTCTCTCTCGATTTCATATATTTTTTTTTTCGTTTTTATCAATTTAGTATTTTTATTATTTATAGACATTAATTTTGCTTATATGCATATGTTCACATGTATTATATAGTTTAGTTCCCAACCCATCTGCGCTCATAATCAAATCGACTTCCGTCGTAATATAACAGACATTTCCATAGTTGAAGACAACCCACAACCACAGGGTCTTTGGAAACGCTCAACTCATCATGGACTACTTTGGGAAATCCCCTTTCGGAACTGGATGATGTCATTGTCGTGAAGTTCCCTGGTTTGACCAATCATGGATCATAGTGGGGTAGTGTGGGCCTGAGGATACCTTAGGTACTACTAGCTGATTGAGGATCCTCTCCAGCTACTACTGGTTTGGCAGTCAACTAAATATCAGCTGAATGCTCCGTGTCAACTTAGAAAAGAGGCCCTTTACTTTGGGACTACCTACCAATACCGTCAATTTTTCTTTCCCCAACATGAGTGCAGGATTCCAATGCAGTTGTCTGGCATACGAACCATTAGAATAGTCGGTAGCACTTGGACATTGTAATTCATTCATCAGTCGATTCGTGGAATGAAACGAGTTATATGTAGTAGTAGCGGAAGAAGAGGATATAGAAGTATAAGTAATAACATCAGCAGTAGGCTGTACACACATAAACTCCCATGCCCAATGGTTCCATCGCTTATCAGAATCCAACTTCTTCCCGGCCCAGAACATCTATCAATGACTGGTCTTACGAGTTTCGTAGTGAACTCGTAGGTCATCCACCTCCTTTTGTAGACGCGATAAATCAGCCAATATGTCATTGGCATTGGATGGATGAGGAATGTATTCTTCTTGCACGTCTGGCCGCTTCTCTGAATGAAGGCTTGTCGGTCGGGTGCTATCGTTACTCTGACTGCTGGACCCCCGCGTGCGCCGTGGAGGCGGGGGTGGTGGCAAAGGGTTGCCTATCGACGTTCGTTTCATGGAAGGAGTACGGGAGTTGGACTGAGATGATGGAGTCGAGGCATCCGTGCCCGGTGTGGATGTCACCGCACCAGGGCTCTGGTGCTGTAAGGAAGGCCTCCGGGGATTCTCCTCAGATGAACGGCCTGGTCTGGTATCCCGGGTTCGCGATGGGTTCAGACTCCAGGAGCTTGGACTAGGTGGAGGGGACTCAGCGCCCTCCATCTTAACGGCCGGCATAGAAAGCCTGCTTGGGTTTGGCTTGGACGCGGTCGTCTTGGATCTTCTCATCTGACTGTGTCGCCTACTCAGTGGCGGTGTCGGTGGTCGCTTATACTGAGATTGGCTGCGCCTTAAAGGCTCACTCGACTTTTCGGCATCGCTATTAGTCGTTCTGGTGAAATAATCCACTCCTGATTGTGATGGCTTGGGGGACGATGACGATTCCGGGGGGAAACTATGAAATGAAAAGCGGTTTGCAGATTTGAAAGGTGCGGGCTGAGAGGAAGAGGGAGTCGAGCCAGGACTAGGGTTGATTAACTTCCCATGGTGGCTCCTGGGCGGAGGCGGCGGTATCTTCTCCCTATTACCTGAACGACTGACCAGAGCTCTTGCCTCTGCATCAATTGTCGGCATATAGTCTCCCACCACAGCTCGCTTTGATGCCTCTATCCGCGAAGTAGTCTGAGAAATAGCCGTGGGGCAATCGTTTGCGGCACGAGTACCTTGGAAAGAGCTTCTAGACGTTGTGTTGTGGGAGACTTTATAGTTTTCACTCTCCCTGAGACATTCTTCGTTGCTTGCCCTCCGAGTCTGTCTTATAGATTGCGTTGTCGGGACCGCCGGAGCTGGTTGACTAAGGTATGGAGCTGTGTGTGGACCAGTGGTGTGGAGGGATTCTTGGGGATAATCACCGCCGCGAGATTTGGGGGCATTCCATGTTGCAGGTGACAAAGTTTCTTCTCGGTCCTCCACGTCATCTTCACTCATTTGTAGGTTCTGATGAAATGGATCCGATGCGGATTGATCATCGGAGGACATCGTATCATCGAGGTCCGGAACGTGGGACGTGGGCGGGGTGTCGGCAAGGCCATTCGGCTGAAAGAGGGCATTCTGAGAGGTCGTAGTAGATGACGGAAGTGTAGGAAAAGCCGGTTTTGCGGAGGTCGAAATAGCGGGTGAAGAATGATGAATAGAGGGGTCTACAACGGTCAGCATTGATCGTTGACTATCCCAAGATGCCGGAAGCGGCGGGTCGACCTCACTCTCTGGCTTTCTAAGGCGGAATGGATTTAAACCAGACATCGCAGAGAAAGTGGGAGGTACCAATCATGAGAGCGATGGAAAATAAACTGGAAGAGGAAGTTCAGAAAGAAGAGAATAACAAACATCCTCAGTCGGCAAAGAAAGTCGACAACCGCTGACCACTCGCGCGGCTTCCGGAAAGCGCAACTAAACGGCCGATGGTTCGCGCCACGAAGCGTCGCCCCGGCTCTGCGGTCAATTAGGTACCTACACTACTGCCTAATCAAGGTACCTTAGGAAGGGCTGATCTGTAACCCGGGCATATTTTGAGGTAGTACTAGCCTTGAGTAGAGACTCAAAAGTGAAAAGCATCAATGACTTCAGCGGCGTGTGCGTTCTGCCTGTCTTGCATCCCCACAAGGGGAAAAATAAAACAAACCGAGTAGCAAAGTAGGAAAAAAAAAAAATTGAGAGAGAGAGAAATGATAAAGAATAGGTATATGTTACAGGGAAAAGAATTAACCAAAGAAATGGAAGAAGAAAAAAAAAAAAAAGATCGGTATGAAAAGCAGACTACCCTTCCCAAACACCAGGGTTATACAATACGAAATGATAAATGGTCGTCACAGTATTCCTCCCTCGAGTTCCATTGTCCGAGAAAGGAGGGTATCAGCTCGCCCGTTTATTGTAAAAAAAA